TTTTTACTGCTGAATTTGCTTTTCGAAAACATTACCATTTGATCTTATAAACGCTGGATCAAAGCTAACACAAATGTTTCAGTACTAAAATCTCTGTAAGTTTTTGTTGACATTGTTGTTGTTTCTGCTCGTTCAGAGAGAGGAATTGTATGAGGACAGCTTTAGCTAATTGCTCGAGCAAAGTCCTTATTATTAAAACCTTCTAYATTATCWTTTTCAAACTTTTTACTGAATACAGAAACCTTCCCAGCAAATTAGTATTTCGTTTTCTTGTTTTTTAAAGCTTTAACGGCCACAAAAATTAAATCCACGCGAGATTTCAATCCGATCAGATTTTCGATCGATTAAGACTTATTCAATTAAGCTTATAAGTTAATACAAAAGATTACTAACATTCTCTTATCGTTGGATTTGCAGAAACAAACCTATGAAGAGCCGATTTGTCTACATATTTCAAGGAAACAGCCGCTATCAAAGCAATCTTTGCAGAATTTAAATTCTGATATAAAAATTAGAGTGGTTCAATGTCCAGATACTCCCAAAACTCGGGAAATGTGCCGTTTAGAAAAGTTCAAAATAATTATACTGGATGGAGAGATCGACGATGGGTTTGTGAAAAACCTAAAGTAAGTCTTACCGGACGTTTGATGTTAAAATATTGTTTCAGTGTATAAAAAAAGATATAAATAAGAAATTAATAATGGAAAATACCTTGAGCCTTTATTAACTACSTCATAGAATCAAGGGATCTTGCAACGAACAAACACCAGTAATCTACGTCGCCAGTGGAGAACTRAAAGGTAAATTTTTAAAAAGAATTTGTGAGAATTATAAAATTATAGATTGATCACTTTTAAATGTGAAGTCGTGATTGCAGAAATTTCCTTCATTCAATATTTATTTTATCTATCAATRCACTACCATAATCATCAACATCACCATCAACCTCAATTATTATATCTACAATTAATATYAAACATGAATTGATAATTATACCATAGTTTTATTGTGTTGGATTCGATATTACCTTATGATATTGTTCAAGATGATGTAAAGAGCCTGGTGAAAGACCAATTTATTGATGATGTCCTCTTTGAGTGCTCAACCTTTGAACAAGACTTKATTAAAGCAGTAAAAAGACTTATTAGCGAACCATTGCAATTTGCAGGTAAGATTATAATATTCATAAACAGTATTACACTTTATCAAAATCATTATTTAATAATTCATAAGGTAAACACAATGCAAAATCATTGCCATGGCCACATCTTTATATCAGCAAGAGATATCTTGATTGTCATACAACTTTAACTTAAATTTTCTTTTACAAAATGATATTTCATCTTCAATTGAAGTTTTATGCAAAATATGCTTTAGCTTATGTTGGAATTTGATAAGCAATATAAAATATTCACGACCGACAGACCTTTATGGGCTATAAAACTGCTCACTTGCGGCTCACAGTTTTATATATAATATATCACATAGAAATAATATATTATAATCATGCCATCATTAACATCTCTATTTTTCAGTAACACCAAAATCTAACAAAGGAGAAGGAAACAACCCCAAACGCCAACGACTAGACAAGACTCCTATGTCAGCTAGACGATGCATCGCTAAAGAATTCCAATCAATTGGTAATAATTATTATGTACTAATAATACCAAAGGTGTAAAATAAACATCAAGATGACAAATAAGATATCTTACCTTGTTGCAGAAAATACAGCACCAATTGAAAAATGTCCAGCCAATCAATACCAACCTTTGACATCTACAAATGTGTTCATCAACATGGATATAGCTACGTCAAGTCACAATTATCTGGACAGCATGATTGACAGGCAGAATCTCTTTAACTACAATCACTTACAAACAGGTGAAATACCCTCCTGAATCACAATARACTCCTACACAGCTACTCTTAAGGTAGCAGTGCAATGATAGATATCATTCTGTGAATAGTATTTTATGAATGAATGAAGATCATGCTCATGCTCAAGTCTTGCCTTGCTGCAAAAGCACAGACCCTTCTTGGGTTACCTGAATCTAGCCTTGCAATATTGCAATGAAATTTGAGGTGTCAATCATGAGAATCATAAATTATTTTAACTTGCCCTAAGCAGAATTTACCATGATGATGAATTCCAACTAATGCAAAGCAAAATCCAAATATGTACTTACGGAATACATAGCCCAATGAGCATTTCATTAAACCACTCTTCTCCCGCTTCTGTAATATATATATTACTAAGGCTTCATTCCTTCATTTGCCAGTATCCACAAGTCATGACAAGTTATATTATTCACAGGAGATCAGCAATACAACCAGCTCCAGCAAGGTTCAGACAYAGGGAACAAAATGGAAATGTTGACAGCTGCAGCAGAAGTGTCCCARGCACTGGCAAGCTTACAGGCTGAAATGAACCAACAAGAAAACACCAGCAACAACAATGAAAACATTGCTTACAACAGAACTTTAGAACAACAAGTCCTTCAAGCAACACATCCCCATTCATCCACTGAAGTYACAAATACAAACCAAATGAGAACTGCTTTGCAAAATGCTGAGAATGCAATCAGCAGCATACTTAGTACAGATGAAATGCTACCAAAAATAACTCTTAGTGGGGCCAGACAACTRTTGGACTCTGCCCTGATGGATATGCAACACAAGACCCCAATAGARAAAGAACAGAMRACTGACAGACCAAGTGACAAGAAGGGAAACAAAAGTACTGAAAGGGATAAGAGGTTAGATTTATGACAATAGGTAGTGAAGAGAGAAAGTCTTCACTTGCTTTTTAATACCAAAATACCAWATATTTCTTTTTATTACCAATTCATACATGAACCATTTGGATTACAATGCATTTCACTACTTGAATAGAGCTAGGCGTTCTTGGTCATTCAAGGACAACAAAACTCCRACAAACAAGACTGATACTTCAAAGATGTCAACATTGGAAAAAAAAGAGCTTCACTTAGCAAAGGAAAGACAAAGAAGGTGAGACCAAGTTTTAGTTAAGGTCTATCAGACACTAAAAGACTTAAAGTGACTTTGCATTTTAATCATCTGTCACTTGTATCTAGCTATAAACACATCAATCCTCACTCAGAGGGTGGAACCTAGCCTGTGCTACATCCGGAATTTCTATCTAATTTCCGGAAATTAGATAGAAATTCCAGATGTAACACAGGCTAGGTGGAACCTGGAGTATCCAGAAAATTTTTTTGAGGGACAGGAAGCCCGTCAAAATGAGAAGCTGCACAGAAGACTATAGAAAGTTTGTGCATTGGATATGTTCATCTGCGGTCAGTTGAATGCTTGGATAGAAGCAGGGTGTTGTAGATAAACTTAAGGACTCATGGATAAAGTTACTAGCCCCATAGATTTTGCGTAGATTTTATCCACTGGAAAGGTCGATTTATCTCCCAGRTGGCACTACATGTATTCAACCTTCAGCTTCACAAAACCAGCCCCTCACAAATAATGTTACCCCTCCTCTCTTCTGTGCAGCTGACCCATACATAACTGTGTCAATTTATAGAATCACTTAATAGTTTATCTGTGCGTTTACAATAGGGAACGTATTGCAAGATCCTGGCATCAGTTGAGGAAGTTGATACCCCTGTGTGATCCTTCAGCTGACAAGGCATCTGTGTTTGAGATGACTGTCGCCTATATTCATCACTGCTGGAAGAACCACTCTGACAAAATACACTCTATAAACAAGGTATGTTGCATTGTCTACCAGMMTTATACTCTGCCTTGAATGCATAACCCACCGTCAATATTTGATGGAATTAAATGCACTCATTTTCACTTCTTTTGTGCATAACAATTCAAACAGATCTTTAGTTTCGCTTTAATTCGTCTTCAGTTCTTGTGTGTGGTTAGCCAATCAATATGTCAATAAATGCAGACATTAGGTTACATATTAAGGTAATAATAGAAGAAATGCAAAAATGAAAACATAATGTGGGATTACATGTAAATGAACATTTTAGTGGATRAAATGAATATTAAATAAATGAATGAGAAATATCTCATGATTCACTGACATCATGATTTGGACCATTTTAGGATTTTGAGAAATTCTGTTTATCAAGGAATGGGCCCCCTGAAAACATGGATGATGTTGACAAGATGGTGGATGAGCTACTAGCAAGAGAAGACCCCTAGACCAAGATATATAATGATGCACATAAAYTATGATAAATTTGAAAGCAACTGATGTCATCATCCATTTTATTATAATCTGGGTAAATTTGAAAACAAGTATCACATTATTATTAGTTGGTTTCACAATAAGGAATACTTTAAACATTCAACATTCACTGCAATGTGGCAATAGCTATAATTTAATTTCTAAGCCATTGTTTGGACCTGGATAGATGTACGAACTGTTTTCATATTTACCCAGTCGACTGAASAGGACCTGAAGAAATACACACTAATGAGAGAAAAGACTTTAAAAGGCACGTCTAGTAAATGGAACCTCTAATCCTYTTAAAGTTTTTTTAGACTCAAAATGATATATATTTAATTATAAGAAATGTATCAAAATCAAATCTTATGGTTGATTTGTACAGTATGTTMAAAAAATGTTGCCAACTGACATCATTTTATAAAATGTTTAATACTTTGTTTATACATCAAGTACTAGAAATTTGAAAATCAAAACTATGACATCCGTCGATATATAATCTAACTAAAATTGCTATTGATCGGATGCAAATGCTATTGATAGTGAATTACATGTACATTCTGGAAGTGCAACCTATGTACTGAAAATATATCATTTTGAAAAACTTAGACACTATGGACTTGATACATGGTAACAGCTTTAACGTTATAACATTTGCATTCGACTAATGGCTGTATTTATTATATTAAAATATTTACAACATAAATTATAAATAATTTGATTGCAGAATTACATCAAAGGGAGTTTAAATGAAATTTATGGTTTTACAACTGGCAGTACTTAAAAAACAATTTTATCAATTTTAACTTATTTGATTATCATTGCCAGTTTTAATTTACTAAATATTGGGTTATAACCATCCCATTTTTTATAATACTTTGAGTATTTTTTTCAGCATTAAGATTTGATTGTACATTAAATAATAATATCATATAAATATTATATTTATAACTTTGTTCTGTTATTGTATAAATAAAAACTGTATTTKAATAAATAAAAATAGTTTAAAATGCATGCAACTCATCTTCATTTTATAACATTCTCATTGTTTTGAGACACAATTTCTTGKCCGAAGGGATTTCTGAAAAGAAAAAAAAAGATGGCTATCACTCTTTGGGTTGTTACCACTAACAATCATTGACATGCAGCAAGTACATGATTCACACTACATTTTTTCAGAGCCTCTTCCTCTTCTGGGAGCTAAAACAACGAATGTGAGCAAATGAAGATGTCTTRTCWGAGTCCCTATCAATCAAGAGGACCTTCACAAAGGAAGCCCAAAASAGGAAAAAAGAGATGKCTGTGRAGGAGGCTAAGTGAGTCAGGTCAATAGATTCTTCATCTCTCGAGAACTCATCCTCTCTAACCAGATTATAATTATATTATAGCGAAGAATATCTTACCCCTTGCATCATCACTTTCCTGCCATTTTCAAATTCCAGTAGGTTCATTCTCTTAACCTTGAGATAATTGCCATCATCATCTGCCAGAAGAATGTAATTTTATTATTATTGTCATTACATGAAAATTAAGCACAACATTAGTTAGTTTAATTCACAAAAACATATCTCCAGATCTAGCAGAAATTAATTTATGACACTGACTATAAAATCATGTGTATCATACAAAAAATGTTTTAAATGTTTTATTAAAATAAAATAATATTATTATCAAAAATATCTTACCACAGTATCCAGTTCTCAGTTCACTATCATACAATCTTTGAGAATTTAACACACATTCTTCTACTTTTTTCTTGAATTCATCAATGCTAGTGTGAATACTAAAAATACAAAAAAATTACATACATAATTTATCATATGACCCGTATTTCGGCTCTTAAAAACCTTTGGGAAATGGTCACATGATGGGGACCGTACACCTTTTTGCGACAGGGTGATAAGACCTGTATCTTCCCGGCTTGAAGTTCTGCACGCTTTTCTTTTTTTACACATCTTTTCATCAAAGAAATGGCTTAAAAACGCTGTCATATGATAAAATGCTTATTGACTGAGTTAGGTCGGGCCGTATGGGGAAATATTTGACTTGCGGTCATTTGTACAGACATCACTGCGCTCGTTCCATGTATCCTTGAGCCAAATATTTTCCCGTGCAGCCCTCCCACTCAGTTAATAAGTACATTTTTTCCGGTCCGGTATCCTAGTTATTCGCGAGCTGTGATTGGCTAGCTCGCAGTCCGTTTTTCACGATCTGCCCAGTCTGACGGTATCCTGAAGCTAGACTGCGAGCAAAGTTGCATACAATACAAATAMAAATAATCAAAATGTTATTTACTGGCTATAGGTCGCTCCGTATAGAAAAACACTGCCCTCGGTGTTTTGTACTGTCAAGACTTGTGCAGTGTTTTCCTATACGCACCTMCCAGCCGGTAAATAACATAATACAYAAATTATATATTTAACTTAAAATCAATAAATCTTACATATTTTTGGCTGCTTGATTTGTTGCTCCCCAAGTGTCTGCACAATAAAAACAGCTCTTCATATATCGTATCACTTGCCTGAAAAGTAATATTTATAAAATTCAGTTTGTAAGACTTCCTCAACTTGATATGAATGTTGAATCAAGAATAGATTGAAAATAATGTAGGGTAGACAGATCTGCTGATTTACATGATTGTATAATTAGTATTCTTAAAACCAGCATCAACTAGCAACTATTCGTTCTAGCAACTAGCATCAACTTGAGCCATGTATATGAGAAACATCCTGGAGAAAAAAGCAGCAAGGAAAGAATAACATTTGACAGCAACTCAAATGCTACAGGATGTCATCCAAATTCTTTTTTAATACAAGAAAAACAAAGCAAAGGATAACAAAGAATGATATCTAGAATGTCACTGAATCATCTTTCTAATTCTCAAGTCATTAAAGAATAAATTAAAAGAAAAAGGGAAAGAGGTGCAAGACATCACCTCTTCCCATTCATTCCTCTTTCCCTTCATGTATTGTTAGAGAAAAGTTATCCCTTTCACTACAATGCCTAGATTCAATCCTTGATAATMGCATACATATGATGTATGTACCATMATATGCAACATGATATTATCTAATAACTATCACTTACCAAATACTGTGACTTTCTTTGTGCCATTTAGGAAAAGCAACATCCAGATTAAGAACCCTGTTAAAACCATTACCATATGAAGTACATTAGCTTCTTGTAAAAAAGGGACAGGAAGCCCAACAAAAGGGTTGGCTGCCAAGAAGACTACATGTACATCAAGTACATTTAGCATTTCAAAGATCTTTTTTGAGTTACTATTTATTATAATTTACCCATTTTGGTGGACTTGAGGATGAAATACTGGAGTTGTGAACTTCAACAATGGCCGACTGTCAGGAAAACTGAAATGTACATTGTATACAAACACCATCAGACTTCTGTGATATTTATTAAATCTGATATTTATTCCTGCTTGATGAACCTTACAAGGTGTGAAAAAATGAATTAAATTGATTGAGATCACTTGTATGTACAGTGTATACATGTAACTATTTTTGTATTAAAGTGCTACTTGCATGAAAATGGCCTTATTTCAAAACTTCAAGCAATACAAATATATAACTCATTTATATCTATTAAAAACAATTGCAGGAAAATATTTGTCTTGGAATTATCCCACATCAGAGAAAATATTTTGATTCAAAAGATGGAAGAACAAAAGGATTGAGTAAATGACGTCATCTACTCCAACATTTTTTGCCCAAGCTATTAAGGATTTGCATCAATATTTTCTTGAAATCTGTTGCTCCATGATTATTACACCCATATGGATAGGTCTATTTGATTTCCAAGTCTTTTCTAATGTTTGCATTTTTCGTCCAAGTAGCCCTTTAAGTTCGTCACGGAAAGAGGTCAATGTTTGAATCAGCAACATGCTATGCCATTCAATTTCATAGCGAACTTAACTGATTCATACCTAGAACTGTTCAATATGTAAAATTTAAACTAACTGATTTGATGAGGTAGTTGGTTGTATGGGCCAGCCCTAAGATGTTTTGGATTACCCATCATGTTTTGTACTTACTCATCAGGCAAAAAAATAAAGAATCTGAATATCCCATCTCTGTATGGTCCAGCTCTTAGGAAGATAATCCCATACCATACTAAAAATAGGTAATTGTCTTATCAATATAATTATAAACAATAGTTTTTGTAGCAATTCATATGTACTACTCATATGTACTATTCATATGTACTCTATACAGATGTGACATATTACAATGTACTTTAGCAAGGAAATACAGCTAATACTCAAACCTTCAAAACAACAGGTCCTATCATCTAAAAATCTAATTAAGGAGTGGTTTATAGAAAACATGAATAGCGTTCCCTCCAGGATAGATCCTGTATCTTACGCAGCTGTTAATGTAATACAGCACAGAACTAACCATGGTTGGATAGGWGTAACTAAACCACATACACCTAATTGAAAAAACGTAGTCGTGTTCGAAAAGGTCACATCATAGAAGCTAAGACCGAAAGGGATTTTGAGTACCACTAAATTGGGATTACAATTGCATATACGGTGTTCAACATGGTGCACGGTAAAGCAAGTAGAGCTAGTAAGATTAACAGCATGCTAGTCTTATATGCTGGAGAGCTGTTTGTATGAAATTAGCCAAATTGTTTGCCTTACCCAAGTACCTTTTCAGTCTTAGCTTCTATGATTAGACCTTTTTGGACCCGACAACATTTCTTCAATTAGGTGTAACAACACTGTTCACTTAGACACGGCCAAAGAATGGGTGATAATGGTTGTTGTAAAAGACAAAGGAAGCCCAACACAAAAACTGGCTGCACAGAAGACAAACTGCAGTTGGTAAAGGAAGGGTAAGAGATGTATTATTTTACTGTCCCCTACAGTACTAATTAAATGAGTTACACAGATGGTTATAAATTCAAATAACATACATGTAATAATTTACACTACATTTACCTTGTATATTATTTAGTGATGGCATGACATATACTCCTCCTTGATGATTTCTACTTAATAATTTCCTGTTGATAATCAAAAATGATTATAAGAAGTGAAAATGTTGTTTTGTGGAATTTTCGTTTGAATTGTCATGAATGACTACTAAGATGTACAGCATTTATAAATAAAGTAAGAATAACTAATTGATGTCATCACCACTTACAGTTCTGATAAAATAAAATGTTCTCTAAAATATGACTTAAAGCCATTATCACTCGTCTGATTTATGGCAACAGGCTCGACATTCTCATCCTCCTCTGCTGTGGAATTCAATTTTTGTTCTATCAGATGCATCTTTCGGATTGATCTRCTAGCAGATTTCAAGCGTTCTCTAAACGTCGGGCTTCCATTTGAGCTTGAACTCCATCTACTCGGGCTTCCATTAGGCGATGGAAGGTCGCAATAACTGCTCTCAGGGCTTCTGGTCGAACAAGGAGACGAAGAAGACGAACTAGGAGAGCTATCAGACATTTTGACTTCTTGACAACAACTCGCACCCGAAGAGTCTGAAGTGTAAACTTTCGGAGGGGAAACSAAAGTCTGTGGCATTTTGAATTCTTGTCTTGAAATCCTGTCTTTCTGCTGAAACGATGGCTTCCCGTTTGATCAAACAATCAAAGTGAAACAATGACTGCGGTTATAAATAGACTTTCACTTTATATTGAATCTAAAACATCCAGTATTTAGCAGTCCACTAGGTTGCCGTTTAAAACTAATCCGTTTAGGTTATATTATATGAAAGCCCCTACAAGTTCTTTTCATGTGTAGTATGACCGCAGAAATCAACGATGAGTTTGTTGATGGTCCTGTTTCATGGAGAATCCAAGATGAAGCGAAACTAGTTACAGCCTTGACATGAATAATGAAAGCACGATAAGGTTTCGGTGTTTGATCACATAACCACATGCTTGTCAATTATTGATAGTTTTAAGGTTCTCTTGGGAAAAATACCTGCACTTTTGCCACCTAACTTTCGTGCGACACTGCTCCATGTTATCCACTGCATATCATATTTCCCGGGAATTTCATCCTTCGAAATGTTGAATATATCCCTATTGGATTTCTTCTTTGTCTTACCCTTCGAAAGCAAGAGCTTATTTGGCATAAATCCTCTGACTTTTCTTGATATTTCATCTCTTTTAAAGGTTAGGGCATTTAAATTTTTTAGACAAATTCAGAAATTCCCGCTCTTTTGTCWGCCATCTTGAAATTTCGATCCATAGGAGAGCCTGCGATATRAGTCAGTCCGCTGATAAATTCTGAATAGTGATTGGTCAATTTTCTAACGGTTATTTTGATTGGTGAAAAGCGAGGTTCGCGGAACACTTGAAAAGACAACAAGAAATGWSGCTTTGTTTTTGAAAAACGACTTTGAAAATCAACTTTTTAACCTTAAATTTTCTACAGAATCTTCTCGATATGAGCAAGAAAGATACCCGRGATCCTTATGCATCCATTTGTATAAGCAGATTGACGAGACTTCTCGATCTTGACATACTAGAAGACTTACAAGAGCTCGAAGATGCTGGCAATGTAATGAAGAATTTAGAGTTCGAAGATCATGCCAAGCCAAACCGTAGTTTCCTTGCGAAATCCACGGAAAAAATTAACAAGATTATAAGTCGAAAACGTAAGTAAATTTAGAAATGAATAGTAGAGACCTCTGTATGCAATTATATGTAATAATCTACAAACTTATTCAGCTCTACAATATAGCTTGAAGTTCAAAGTTTGTCATCAACCATGATCTTTTATTTTTGTATCATATAAGGTTTCTATAAGTTACTTGAAGTAGCATTCTACTCTACTAAGAAATTTATATAGTACAGTGTAAATACAAAAGAGACTTAGAATGTTTAAAATGAGTTTCATTGAAAGAGAAATAGTATAAATTTTCTTTCACTATGCTGAAACTGGTAAGAAATGTAGAGGTGAGGGCAAAGGTATATCATAATGTTCTGTATCTACTTAAAAAGTGATTTATTGATCAGGAGAAAGAGTCTTGGACTTATTCTCTGTSTTCTCTCATAATGATTTTCTTGTATTGATGAAAGAAGAAGGAGAAATACATGTTAAGCTCCCAATTAATCCTTGATTTTGATCCCTAGATAACCACAAGATATTTGGCCATCCTCTTAATGATGATGCAGTACACAGAATTCTCCCCTTAATAGATCATCTTCAATCTTGTAAGTCTTGAACAGAACAAAATAGTAAAAACTGTACTAGTGCAAAAATGATACAAAAAGTAGACTAGTATATGATTTTAAAACATAAAGGACTTAATGTTACTGACAAGAGCTGGAGGTGTTTTTTGGACAAGGGAGCGAGCTACATATTTTTCAAAACATTCTATGGGAATTAGTGTATAATCAATGAGCTGCTAGTTCCCAGGCTCACGCCGCAATGGCATCTGGGATGGCAAGGGCGTAGAAAAACCACCATTCTTTTAGSATTTTTTTATACTAAAACAAATTTAGATTGTACTTGTTTGTACCCTCGCAATCCCAGACAGCTTTGTGTTCAAAGARATTAGAGAGACCTTGGGAACCGACAGCTCTTTCATTTACAGACAACAATTAGTTTGTCAAATGAAAATAATAAAT